CCAACTAGGTGTCCGACAATTCAGTTCAATTCAATTCAACTCGACAGGTAACTACCTAGAGTTAGCATCGGATTCCACAGATTTAAGGGCTCAGCCCCACAAGACTGTCCCCATCTCAGAAGCCAGCTGCAAATGGGGTGTCCAGGCTGCTCACACTTCTGCCTGGCTGACTACAAATTCAGGGGTTCCCATGACCCGCTTTTCAGGTTTGGCAGTTGGCTGGGTGCAGAAGAGACAGCCACCCAGACTGAGACGAAAATCAACTTTCTCTTTCAGGACTTGCTTGGGTGTTGGGAGATGCTGAAGAACTGCCCTTTGATGATGACAAGTTTGATGTTTACACCATTGCCTTTGGGATCCGGAATGTCACACACATTGATCGGGTACGAATGGCTGCGTCTTCAGCTTGTGTGACTCTCAGGATATTAGTTCCCCTGGAGTGACTCCACAGTGAGTGAATGAGGAAGAGATTCTTCTCTGGGCTCGGCTCTTGAGTGGAAAGATTGATTCAGGCTCAGGGGCCTCAATCCTTTAGGTTGCCAATATTCCTAGTCACAAAATTGACAAAGACCAAAACCATACAGCAGATCCCCATAGGAGCCTTTTGTTGCTTAGGTTGATATTTACATCTTTGAGGTTGTCAGTCTTGCTCTGATATTTCATTTCTTTCCTCTCGCTTGTGGAGCCATCTGACTCTGTGAGTTTGCAGAAAATCAGAGGCATTTCTTCCTTTTTTTTTTTTTCAATTAGTTTATTGGGTGACAATTGTTACTAAAGTTACATAGGTTTCAGGTGTACAATTCTGTAATACATCATCTATATATCACATGGTGTGTTCACCACCCAGAGTCAGTTCTCCTTCCATCACCATATATTTGATTCCTTTTAGATCAGAGGCATTTCTGAGGTTGACGCAGAGAAAGGCAGTCACACACTATTTTGGCAGAAAGTAGCTAGTAAATTCGCCGCTTCTCTATAGAAGAAGGGAATGTTCAGCTCTTATTCTGATGCAGTTCTTATTTATTTGTACTTTAATATTCTGTCCAAAGCATTTGAAGACTGTGCAAGGCACTAGTTTCGTTTCTGTAATGTGGGCTCCAGGGACCCGATTCTTCAGCTTTTGGTGGGACAGTCTTTACAGTGCTCTTTAGTTTGGTTTTCATGACCTGTCCTGTAACTGTAGCCAGTTTATTATTGCTTTTTTTTTTCCTTTTTTTAAAAATTTTTATTGGGGAACAGTGTGTTTTTCCAGGACCCATCAGCTCCAAGTCAAGTAGTTGTTTTGATCTAGTTGTGGAGGGCGCATCTCAGTGGCCCATGTGGAGATCAAACCGGCAACCTTGGTGTTATGAGCACTGCACTCTAACCCACTGAGCTAACCAGCTGCCCTATTATTTCTTTTAATTAAAAAAAAAAAATTGGGCCGGCCGAGTGGCGCTTTGGTTGAATTGGCTTAGGATGCCAGCTCTGAGCAGCAGGGCCCCAGTTTGGACCCCACATTAGGGCCAGTGACGCTGCACCCTCTACAGCTAAAATGGTGAACAACAGCTTGACCTAGAGCTGGGCTGCCGTGAGTCGCCGGCGGTGGCGTAGGCTGCAGTGGGGCTGGCTGGCAGCAGGCGTGCACTTTTGTGAGCCACCGTGAGCGGCCATCCAATGGCCGGCAAGTGACTGCCTCACCTGGGAAGAGCGCAATGATAAAACCAACATGGGCCAGTGAAGCAACGTCCTCCACTAGACTGAAGAACAAAAGGACAGCAACTTGTCTGTTCCTCTCCCCCAATTCCCCAATAAAATATTTTTTTAAAAAAAATGGAATAGATTCAAAGTTCAAAAGGTTATATCAGTGAAAATCTTCCTCCCACCCTTGCATCCCAGCCATTCAGTGCCTCCTCGTCTTCAATCACCAATTTCTTGTGTATCTTTACAAAGATGTTTTGTGCATATTAAATGTAGTTATTCTTTTTTCTTTCTTTTCTTATGCAAATATTAACATATGAAACATTTTTCCTATTGCTTTGTTTCCCAAAAAATATTACCTTGGAGATTTTTCCATGTCAGTGAAGAACACTGGCTCTTCCTTTTATCAATAGCTGCATAGATTCCATTTGTATAGATGTTCCATAATTTAACGATTCTCTCATTAATGGTTAAGATGCTTCTAATCTTGTGCTGCTCAAATAGAGCTGCAATGAATAACCCATATACAGGTCATTTCCACAGAAGCATTTCTGTAAAATAGGTTCCTTGAAGTAAAATTGCTTGATCAAAGGAGTTTCCATTGGGATTTTGATAATTCAGAAATTGCCCTCAATGGGGGCTGTACCAATTTAAGTCAGTTTAGATTACTCCAAATAACCTCTTCATGGGCAGCAGGCAGCCTATAAAATTTAGGATATTGTAGGGTTATTTCTGCTGTTACAGCTTCCCAACTACGAAGGAAAAGGGATCTGTGAACAATAACTTTTATAATGCCCACAGAAGCTAAAGCTGTCTCGGCCTCATGGAACGAAGTGAGGTCTGCTGAGAAGTGTGTTCTCATATTCCTCTTCTCACTCAGGCTCTCCAGGAAGCCCATCGGGTCCTGAAACCAGGAGGACGGTTTCTCTGTCTGGAGTTTAGCCAAGTGAACAATCCCATCGTATCCAGGTTGGCATTGTTGTTGTTTAAAGATTTTATTGGGGAATTGGGGAAGGGGAACAGCCAAGTTGTTGTCCTTCAATCTGAGTTGTGGAGGGCGCAGCTAGTTCAGCTCCAAGTCCAGTCGCCATCCAGCCGCGTGTTGGCAGCTTGTGGCCGCGCAGCTCAAGGTGCAGTGTTCAATCTCAGTTGTGAGTGAGCATAGCCCACCATCCCATGCAGGAGTCAAACCGGCAACCTTGTTGTAGGAGCACGTGCTCTCACCAGCTGAGCCATCCTGCCACCTGTTCGCAGCTCAGTGGCAGCTCAGCTGAGGCGCAGCTCACTGACCCATGTGGGAATTGAACCGGCGACCCTATTGCTCAGAGCTCGTGCTTTTAACCAACTGAGCCACTCGGCCAGCCCCAGGTTGGCATTGTTTAGCCAAGGGTTGTTTAGCCAATTGAGCCTCACTGTCTAGTCAAGGGTTTCCTATCCCCAAATGGATAGAGTCCCAGACTCCCTGAGGCACAGTGCCACCTCAGAGGTCAGCCATTTCTGAATGAGAACACCGAGGCCAGAAGAGTCTGAAACCAGCAACTGGAGGCTCCAGTCGGTCCACAGATATATTGTTTGACTGCTCATATTTTAAGAAGTTGACTTAGAGGTTCATATTTGAAAATCAGGAAAGTTTAAAAATCTGGATTTCCATATATCTGAAAAATCAGATATATGGCAACCCTGGGTAAGCCATATTCCCACATGGCAGTAGTTAGAGCCGAGTAGTAGCTGCCCCTTCTCCACTTTTATGGTGCTTCCTAACTGTACCTGTCACCACATCCTCACTACTCCCTACTGGTCAGGCACCGGCCCACTTCACTTATTTCAGGTACTTGCTTGACCCCTATATGTAGGAATTTGAGTTTATGATCCTAGGCTTAGACCTTCTTGCGTATTATCAAGTGGCATGGTCTGATCTCAATCTTTTGCCTTTTTGCTTAGGCTTTATGATCTCTATAGCTTCCAGGTCATTCCTGTCCTGGGAGAAGTCATCGCAGGAGACTGGAAGTCCTACCAATACCTCGTAGAGAGTATCCGACGGTTCCCATGTCAGGTACAAAACTTCTATAGCTTACCACAAAGGCCCTAAAGGTGAAATCCAGGCAGATCCTTGCTGTATCTTCCTTTGTGTTTTAGGAGGAGTTCAAGGAAATGATAGAAGATGCAGGTTTTCAGAAGGTGACTTATGAAAGTCTAACATCAGGCATCGTGGCCATTCATTCTGGCTTCAAACTATAGCTGCTTTACCATCCTGGAGTGTGAACCAGTCACATCCTGTCAAAAGCCTGCAACTGAAGGATAATCTGGCTAGTGAGACCAGCAACAGAACATCTCCTCTTAAGGATATGTGCCTTGGACTAATGTTCTGATGTGACCAACCTCAACATGGAAGAAACAGATCTGTCACTTTATTGCAGCTTTCATTAGGAGCTGCTTCAGGCCTTCTCCCCGAGGTATTGTGTATTTTTTGCTTGATTCCTGCTAATTTTTCTCAGCTGTGCAGTGTGGTTAAGGTAAAACCAGCACTAACTCAGTTTTGAAGTGTGTGTAGTCTCTCTGCTGGTGCTGTCTTCCAGAGAGAGATGAGTCATTTGAACCTAATGATTTGAACCAGATTACTTGAGTCACCTTTCAGCCTAGGGCTGGTGGAGGGCCAAAGGCCAAGGCCCAAGTCAGAGGGCTAATGATCATGGCTAGAATCATGTACTGAACCACTACATGAGTTTACAATTTGTACAGTATTTGTGATTTTTTTTCTTCAAGGGGTAAGGGACATACATGTGTCATCATTTATTCAGTGCTCTTCTACCAAAAGCCACTATTGTGTCTTCAGTGCCTGTCATGAAGAAAACCAATCCTCATTGAAAGAATAAATGTACCACCAAGCTCCTGCTTTTGTGACTTAGAGAGCTTCGTCAGAATACATTTGAAGAAAAGGTTTTATAGAAGAAAAAAAAAGAAGTTTGATAATTATTTATCTAGCCTAACCCCCTCCAGTACTGAGGGGCAGAGCTGAGCAGAGCTCTTGTATCCTTAATGGTCACTGATGTTAAAATGAGGCCGTATTTTGAGTGTGGATAAAGCTTAAGATTTTTGTGGGCCTTTGCTAAGAAATTGCAGAAATCAACCTGTGAGTTGCCTGGCAGTTTGTTAATTGCAGATAACTTAGTTCAGGGTTATTTGAAAAGGCTTCAGATAGGCTACCTCTTGGCCCAGCACAGTAGGGGTCATTTATGTACCTTCACTCATTAGATCTTACCGTCACTGAAAAGCTTCCAGACACAGCTATCTAATATGCAAGTATCTCAATGAACAGCAACTGAGAGCATTTAATAAAATGCTAAACCTTAGAAAAGTTTTAGCTTACATTTTTTCAACCAGCCTATTGGCCTTTGAAACTAACAAGGAGCAGGCACTGGAAGAAACTTCATAAACCATCAACCCAGTCCTATCTCCACAGCAACGTAGTTTTCTCACATTCAAATAAAAATAAAAAATAAAAAGTTAAAACCTGCCATTTCCTGGCAGTAGATATAGATGGACCTAATCAAACCAGAAGCCCTAGTGTCCAGCCACTTGTGGACTTAAATTATCTCTAGCGTTTGTTGCTGGAGACTATTTGGAAGTAGGGCTAACTGAACAAGATTGATACAGCTTTGAAGGCCAAATGCTTTTGGCTTCAAATAGAAGTATAGCCAGGTCACTAAAGCGGGGAGATAGAAAAAATATAAACTTGGGGAACATTTTCAATCTTGTTTATATAAATACAAACCTAAATCACCCCAGTTGCAGTCTCCTTTTCCACAGTATCTCCTTATCCCTTCCGGCAGAAAGCATGAAAAAAATAATTCTCCTATTCTGCCACAATAAACAGGAAAACAATTCTTTGCCCCTCTCTACCCTGAAACTTTCCATCTTAACATAGCTCAAATTCAGTAGGACTCCTAAAACCCTAAGTTCTGGTAAAGAAAAATCAATTTCCAAAAAATGTTACAGGTCTAACTCTGCTCTTAAGATGGAGTCATCACCTATCAATTTGAATGTCACCCCCCCCCCCTTCTGTATAGCAATAGCCTGGCTGTTCAGAAATCCTAATTGTACCTCAGGTCTAAGATGAAAACTAAAGCCTTGCCTCATGTGAACAATGAGCAGAGTTAACTAGAAAGCCAGGACAACTTCCCAAGATGGTATGAGTTGTTTGAGCCTCTGGAGTATTTTTCTACAAAAGCCAAGTTTGTCATATTTGCTTTTCTTAAAAGACGTAAGTCTTCCTAAAAGTGATAGCAGGAAACCTTTAATGAAGGTTACTGATCCAGCTTTAATTGGGTCTTTTAATAAAAGCTTCAATTCACATTTGTTAATTGGGTTTCTGACCACAGCTAGTTAAGGCACAGCACATCAGGTTTACACATTTAAATTCTTGCAGACTTGGGAAGAATCACAGGAGGGCTGTTACTCAGAAAGTCGTTTTCCCTTTTAAAACCACCTTTTATCTTATAGAGTACCTTTTTGAGGCCCTGCAGGAGAGGGGGCATAGCCCAGAGCCCAAATTTCTCATTAGCCCAACTTGTTATCAGCTTATTTCCATTTTACAGCCATAGAAACCTTATAGAATGGGGTCCTACTACACATTCACCACCACCACCTGAGGCCTAGAACATTCTATAGCAACATCTTTTAATAAAATGAGCACTTAAAGTTAGTATTTATCAGATTAGGAGTAAGATTTAATCCTAACATTTCTGACATGCACTTCTGAGTGTTATTCTGTGATGCACAACAGTTGCAGATGGGTGAGCATTAAAGACTCAGAAGTATGAACAGGCTAGTGTACTCTTGTGTTGTTGGAAGTCATGACGCATTTTTGCAACGAAAAAAAATACGTCATGACTTTTCTCACAACCCAATATATCGCACAGAAACTTACTTCAAAGACTCACCCCTAAAGTCAAGATGAAGCTATAGACTATCCTCAACCCTACATTATTTGAACAAATCGTAACTAACACGCTTTTCCAACAGATTTATTTTTTGGCTCGGGAGGGGAAGGAATGGATTTTGAGAAAAAACATGCGGTGGAGAGGTATGGAATAGAAAATAAATACAAATGTAAGCTGTTTTGCTAATTGTTTTATAACCACAACAAATGAGTACAGAGAAAGCCCTGTACAAAAACAACACAAAGGTTCAAGATCAAGATGTTCCTTTAGGCAAGGCTGAAGATTTCAGTCTGTGGTATTTGGAATTTAGGCTGCAGTCCTTGGTTTTGGACGGATCACTGGGTGTGTAGCACAGTCCATGCTTCTAACCAGATTTGAACAGAAGGATGGCCACCTGGCCCAGGTAGAAGTAGATGAAGTGTTTGGTTTCATGTGTCACATAACTACCGAAGTTTCTCCCCACGATGCAGTGCCAGGTGGGGTTGTACTTCTTGTCAAACTCCTAGAGGGTAGGGGGGGAGAGAAAACACTAGAATGTTAGTGCTAAACCAGAGGTTAGAGCTTGCCTCCTGGATAAGCAGAGCCTGTAGAGGCAGAAAGGAGGAACGTTAGCATCTGCAAATTCTTAGAATGAAAGAATGTTCCCCAGCTCCAAGTCGCCTACATAGTGCACTAATGCAAACATACTTGCAGTCTGAGCTAAGCTGGGAAGGGGGGCTGGGGAGGTATAAGGCAGAAAGGGCAGCCTCAAAGACAGGGTGCTTTGTTATCATGGTAACTCCACCTTCATAACTTCTGGACTATTCTTATTCATTGATAGCAGGTGACATCAACAGTTCCAGTTTATCATGTTATGTGTAAACAGAACAAACTCAACTATCTACCTACTGTATGTCATGCACCCCCAAATCGAAGAAAATGGTAAATACTTAGCCCAAAATATCCCATTATAACCCATTCCTTAATTGCACTCCAGTATCACTGATAACAAGACTTCCAAAAGGACAGTCTCAATTAGCATCTGTGGATCAAAATTTAAGGAGACAAGATACTTGGCACTCCACTGCTCCTATAACAAGAAGGCTGGAAGCAGAATCTGACAGCCACCTAGTTAAATTTTACCCTTAATTATAATTTCAATAGCCCTCCTTTCCACCACCTATCCTAATGCTAATCTACCACCTGGTCCACAAGGAGCAAATTGCAGGAACAATTTTCCCCTATTCTCCCCAGCCCGAAGGCTCTGGAGACTAGAATGCCCGGTGTTAATTTCTTCACTTATGTGACTATAGGCAGGGGCCAAAGCTAATCCTTCTCTAGAAAATTCTTACAAGTCTGTGGTAAATTACAAAATTTGGCTACTCTCATAGTGAACATCTTTTAGCTCTATCAAGGGGAATATAACATTCTTACAAGCTAGACGAACACACTGCTGCGTTCGTCAAAAAAGGTATTTCTGGTTCCATCTGAAGCCTTTCATCTTCCCATTCTCGGCTGGAACCCTCCTACGGCTTAGGCTGCCAGCTTCCTTTCCTTCCAGAAAACATAGTTGGAGAAGTTGGCAGTCCTGCCAGCTTTCTACAGACTGCCATTTACCGAGCCCCCACCTCAGGCCCCAACCACCACTACCACCCACTTTCTCTCAACTGCCGACTAAACTCCCCACTGGAAAGGCTGGCAAGCTCCCCCTCCTGCCCGGCTGGAAACACCCACGCAGCTCCCCGCTCGGGAACACGCAGATGGATCCTCCGCGCAGGAATCATGCAGAAGGGGGAACCACTGCTCCCTGATCCTAGAAACCGTTGCTAGGTGGCGCTTTCCCCCGCGGAGCTGGGTAATAAAAAAAAAACTTGGGGCACGGAGGTTCTGGTCTTCTGAAGAGCGCAAAATTCACTTGCGTTCTTTCTGGAATCCTCTACACCGGAGCTGCCCTGCATGCCGTGCCCCCAAGGATCTCCGTCAGGCGCTCCTGGGAGGCATGAACCGGCAGCATTTACTGAAGTTGTGACTCCCTCAAGCCGAGCGTAATCACCCCGAGCCCCCCGCCCGCGCCCCGTCCTCACCTTCTTAATATGGGCCGCAATGTCCTTCTCTATGTTATATTTCTCCAACGCCTGAGTAGCACACTCCACCGAGTCCTGTTGCATCTCCTCGGACATATCGGCATTTTTTATCACCGCCTTTCTGTCGCACATGGTTACCTGGGGGACGAGGCCCGAGCAAGGGGTGAGGAGTTGCGGTGTGTGCTGCGCCTCCGAGGCGCCCGCTCTCCCGGCCCGCTCCGCCCGCACCACGCCATCCCGGAATGACGCCCCCCACCCCACTTCTCAGGGAGCGCGGGCCGCGCGGACAGAACCGCGAGAAGTCCGGCGGGGGACGAAACCAGGTAGCGAAGCCCCCGGGTGTACCCAAGTCTCTCACAGTGGAGCTGAGCTTGGCCGACTGCAACGGTCTCCTGGGGGAGGGGCTGGCGAGAATGAGACCCGGCAGAAGAAGCCGTCGCTATCGAAGCCGTGGCGCATCTAAGGAGCCCCACACCAGCCGCCGCCGCCTAGTGCCTAGGCCCCGCCCTGCTCCCGTTGGCCCCGCCCCCGCCGAACATCCCTATTGGCTTGACGCATCCCCCAGGACTCTCCCATTGGCCCATGGGCTCAATGGTTCCCTCAGGATCTTTTTCCTGCATTTTGTTGCAGACCACAATGCACCGCTCGTGGCGTCGGTTGCCCCGGCAATGGGCCGCACGCGGTGAGGCCCACACACCCAGAAGGTGGGGCTGGGGCGCGGTTGCGAGAACTATCCAGCGGCTAGAGGGGTGCGAGGGGAGCTTCTGCCCCAGCCGAGGGAAGTGATTCCAAATTTACGGAGGTTGTCCCAAGGTTTGTTCTCGAATAACGATAGTCCGGTGCCCTCCTAGGTCAGAAGGATTTACTGATTCTGACTGAGGTGACCAGTCCCTTCACTGAAAGGGTATCTATCTCTGAAGCAGGGCCGGCTTCCTGGGCAAATAACCCGTACAGTCGCAAAAGAGGGACCCCAAGGCTTGGTTTAATGCTCTACTGTCTCGTTCTTGAAATTCTTTTGTTTTTTAACAAGGTACCCCACATTTTCATTTTGCATTGACCCCCGCAAATTATGCAGTGGGTCCTCCTTTGAAATACTGGGGAAGGTTCCTCAGGAATGGGAGAGGGTTTATTTATGAATGAAGGGGTTACGCCAAGAGGGGGGGTCTCCCTGCTGAGCAACACTGACCTCCCTTAATGGTGTGGGGGGCCCTCTGCGTAGATTAGGGAGTGCCGGTTCCAGGTGTGTGTAAGTGTGTGGCAACAGTAGGGCTTCTTGCTCCGATGAGGCATTCTTTCCTGTATGGGAGTTTCTTGATTGAGGATTTATCTCTAGGGCGGAGGTGCCCTAATGATTACAAAGGTATTTCCTCTGGCTTAGGGTGGCTAACCACTAAGTGGTTAAAAAAAAAAAAAAAAAAAAAAAAAAAAAAAAAAAAAAAAAAAAAAAGCAAGGTCTTGCGTGGTTAGGGAGCAGGGTCGGTTCTGGATTTAAACCCCAGCACTGTCTGTTTTTTTTTTTTTACTAGCTGTTTGAACCTCAGTTTTCTGATCTGTAAAGTGGAAACACTTTATAGAGGCATGTTGGAAGTATTAAATGAATTAATGCCTTTGAAGTTCTGTCATGTAGTAGGTGCCTAACGAATCTTATCAACTATCAGTTTATGGAACTGTCCCAAGAGTCACAGCAAAGTTTTGAAACAACGCTTAAATGCCTATAATGTGTTTTTGAACTTCCATAAACAAGTTATCAGGTTAATCATGTAACCAGAAGCTGTTTACATTTCTGCGTTTTTTTTCCTTAACCACCTATTCTCATTAACCCAGAGCCCCTTACAATTTGAGGAGAGGCACACAACTCCAAACAGAAAGAAGTGGGAATAATAAGAACCTAAGGTACATCATATGCATATCAGTTAAATCCAATTAAGAGGCTTTTTTCAGTTCCAGGTTTCCAATGCTGGAATTATGGATTTGAAGAATTAAAAAAGAGTTCTATGAATATATGGTGGCACTCCTGAGGAGGAAGTTGGGTTGGCAATGAGAGTGAGGCAGGGTTAGTGCTTCTACCTGACTTGGGTGTATGATTTAGAGCTGTGGAATCTACTAATGACTCGAGAACCAAAATATCTCTCTCTCTCTCTCTCTCTCTCTCTCTCTCTCTCTCTCTGTCTCTCTCTCTCACACACACACACACACGTGCGCACCGTGTGTATTTCTCTCTCTGATCTATGGTTTGGCCATCTTCTCATCGGTTGAACAGAAGTTGCTGAAAGTAGTTAAAGCGCATGAGGAAATAAGAATAGCTGCTGTTTATTGAGTGGTTGCTTACCACCAAATGCTTTGCATTC